TGTGAAATGCCCTCAGTTGGTTGCTCTGCAAGTTGGGCTCATGAAACTGTTCCAGTTTCTACTTTTTCGAAAGTTAAATGGGCAGGCCTATGAAAGAACTTGTTGAGTTTCCAGACTACTTTACATATAGTCTGGAGTTGAGAATAAAACCAAGACACCAGAGGCTACAAAGCGAGGGAGTCGAATGCTCACTGGCTTGGTTTCTCAACTGCAGTGATCAAAGATTAGAGAGATAATATGGTGATCTTATAGAAGTTGAAAGTAGCGGTCCATCTTTTGTGATGTGCGGGAAGTTGGAATTGCCAGGAACTGAGATTTTATCAGAAGAAGACGATGACAGTGATGATGAATTAATTTATAAGCGGACTGTCTCTCTGTAGTTAATTGGCATTGTTTAACTGGCCAAGGCCCTACAACGGTAAGAAAGTTTTTATGCTTCAAGTCGGGCAAGAAAAATTTCTGGAACCATGGGAGAAAGTTTTGGTCTATCGGAAAATTTAGCTAGAACGAAAATCCTTTTTTGTTTCTGAGTTTCAGATTCCTTTATTATCTGATTCTCTTCTTCAATTGTGTTCATATCATCCAAAAGTTAAACGGTTGTCATATATATTCCACCTTAGCAAGTTATTTCGTGATACCACATCTTCCACACATTATTAAACGACCATCCTTTTTAGGGTGGTACAATAACTTCAGGGAGCCTATTGCGGATTTGAATTTCACCATCCCTAATGCTATCCTCTGGCAACCTTGGAAGATCAGGAATAAAGTTATTTTTATGATAAAAAGCCTTACATAACTGCGGCCTTTAATGCTATTAAAACTGAAACTTTTGACATGTCGGCTGCCAATCCGTTGCCTAGTACCAGCCGTAATATCCCGATCAACATATGTACCGTACGCCCCAAAGAAGGATAAAACCCCTCCTAGTTTCAACGTCTGTCAAAAACCACCACCCACATACTTCAAAATTAACATGGCCTCTCGGAACCTCAAACTGAACCTCATCCGAACAGCTGCCCTCATTCGTAATGAATGTGGCAACTACGTAAAGCATGAAACCCATGTGGTATCCCACGGGAATATCACAACTGCCACTAATGAGACCTTGACTTTTCTTATCTCTATTGTCAAGACTCTCAGTACCAATAATATTATTACAGATGTAATAGAGGTAGATAACCTGAACGTCTTCGAGGGCTCACAGAGTCACAGGTATCTCAATCCAAAACTAGAGTTGCTGGCCACGCATTCAAAATATCAAGAAGAGACTCGTGACACACAAATGGTCTATCGCGCACATACACCCGTATAAATAGCGCTTCTGAGTGTTTGGCTTACTGAAATACTTCGACAAAACCCAATGATCATCATTTTAATCACTTTATTGGTATTCTTAAATTTGACGCTATCAATTTTCGTTATGTTATTTAATTTTGAGTAGGCTTTGATTTGGTCCTCCCGCTCTATGTACCTCTTTTTATTCTAATAAATTGGTGGGGGGTTTCTTCACTTTCTTGGCCCCGCCCCCAAAAGACCTGTGGGCTTTTGAGAACTTACCGAGTAAAAAAAACAAATTACAAATATTAAAGTCACAAGAATCACATCAATCGCATCAAGACAGCTGCATTTTATATAGAAAAAAAATTCTATTTAGAAAGATTTATTTTGACATTATACCTTCATTTTGAAGATGTCTATTTTTGCTTTGATATTCAACGTGATCTCTGATCCCGGAGGCATCACTTTTATTGAATTCCAATTTTTCCCTTCACTTTTATGTCTTAGAAAACATGTCAAATTGATAATTGTATAACTTGGTGAATTTCTGTGTTATTGTTGAGACACTATTGTTGAGACACTATTGTGAAGAACTATTATCATGTACGCTTGACACTATTGTGAAGATTTATTATCATGTACGCCTTCCTCTCACTTTTCAGACTTAACCAATTACTTTTTGAAAACACTTTAAAGCAAGCTAAAAGGCTTTTCAGACACTATTGACATAACTCTCATTCCCAATAAAATCTATCTATATACAAAAGAAGGAGAAATATGAGTGAGCTTTCCCGCCTAAATAAAGGGTCAAATTGGATTTTCACATGTTTGGAATGGTGTGTGTTCCGCGTAGCATTGTATGGCATCTCAAACCTACACGGGAAGCTCAGTTGGATGAGTGGTGAGAAAGTTGGAACATTGACCAAGTATCGAAATCCACAACGCCCGTGTGGAGGTTACAACTCCTAAGTGTTGGACTGGATATCTGATGCGCACGAGTACAAGGTTTATCACCATTGAATTGACTGAGTCACCGTGACCTATATCCTCCCAAATGCCTTGTCGAGTCGGAGTGTGGGGAGCCCTTTAGGCTGGGATTCAACCTTTAGGAACATTGTATGTGCATTTCCATAATCTCAATGTGGAGTACATCAAAGGGACCAAACTGTACCGTTGCATAATCCGAAGTATGTGACAAATTAGTATATGGTATACATAATTTTATTATCTAAAATCAGTCACCATTTGAATATCCAATGTGTCAGGAAATATTTTATTGTGTTCAATTTAATTAGATTTATCTTTGTTTAATTAGGATTTAATTAGTGGACCTATGTAATTAATTAGGGGCCATTTAATTAGATTAATCAGGTCCATCCTATTGTAACTAGGATGCTCGGCCACATGCTTATAAATAAAGGCCGTATGGACCGAGCATGCCTAAGAGTTCCCTGTTCTGAATAGCCTCACGCATTCTGGAACTCCCACGTTAGAAAGAGAAAGTCTCTACACATTCTGTTTCCGCATATTTTTCTCGTAGAGCACGTAGATTAGAAATTCTCTCTCTAATACGTTCGAGTATTGTGTAATCGTTCTTCATGGATTCATCATTCTTAATACACGGTATACGTTATTGGTGAATTTCCCTTCTACTGTTATAATTGTTTCAATTATTATTAGATTATTCGACTATTGAAATCTGGGCTACATTCACACACAATGCAAAATTAGTTGTATACCTACCTGCCTGGTATGTACAATAAGTTTATTTTTCAAATTTAAAATCAATGTGTCATTAAAATAATTTATTCCAAGGAAAATTCTAATTCATTCGCGAGATAGAGTTGGTACTTTCAGCAAAGTTAGAGGGGGAGAGGATATATTTACTTTGCAACCAGTCATTGCCCCACCATCACCAACCCACCCCCACCCCTACAACTACCCCACCCCATTAGTTTCCCACTGCATCCCTAACCACCACTACCCCACCACCTCCCAACCATGCTCGAACCAAGCTATAAACCCGACTCATCGGGATCAAATATGGATATGTAGCGCAGTAGCGGCGACCATCCTTGACCTTTATATCTGGTATTAGCCACCAAGTTATGTAGCGGTGGTGTATCAATGGTAGCACAGGGCCATATCGGAGTAGGCGAAAGCTTGAGGAGATAATATTTGAGGAGTACACCAACGTTGGCGGCTCTCTACCAGCAACGCTGGTAGTAGTGACGACGTCGCTCGTGGTTGTTCGGCTGAGAGTAGGATGGACCCGGGTATGTCCGGTCCTGGTTCCTGGCTGACATTGTCTAGTCCCTCTAATTTTTAAGCCCGGAACCGACCCATATAAATCTGGTTCTGGGCCGGTTTTGGGTACCCGGGCAATGCGGTATCGATCCCGCTTTTCTTAAAAAAAATCCTGGTTCCAAGGCTAAAAAATAAAATAAATAATTTTTTACCGGTAGGGATTGAAAAGGGACCGAACCGCAAAACTAAGAACTGAGACCAGTTACCCTAGCTATACATCCCTAGCCAGAATCGGAAACCCAGATCCGGTCCGGTCCCACACAGTGCCAATCTCAAATCAGGACCTGCAGGCCAGACTGGATCCACCCATGGCTGAGAGTGTATAGATGTAACTGAAGCCTGAATGGTCAGCTCAGATGCAAAGTAAAGAATATTAGAAAAATTGTAGGGTTATCATCATGGATATTTCAGACCATTGGTTATTAATTGATAAACTTTTATCTTTTTTTGAGATCACGTCCTATATTGGTCAAATTAAAACTCACATACATTATTCCGGAACTCTACGGTGCATTTAAATTACTGAACCTTGCTTACTTGGACCAATTATAGTATTGGAATTGAAAATTTTAAATGATGAGATAATGACTTGAACAAATAAAATGTATTATAAATAATATATCTTCATTTATTTGTAAGGTACGGTAATGATGAGCATTAAACATACTCGTTACTCCTTAGAGCATCTCCATTCACGATACTCAAGTTTACGGTTTTTTATGACTTCTTATTGTCATGTCACTTCCACATAAGATAATCTCAAATAATATCCAAACCTATCAATTTTTCCTCATCCATGATCTTAACTTACCTAGATTTTTTTACAAAGCTAGTTATTATTAGTTGCCTAGAAAATGAGAAGAGAGGAGCCTAAAAGTTGTGAATAATCTCAAAATAATCCAGCTTTAGAATTTGATACCAGATTATTTTATCAAATAATCTCATAAAATAATCTCAACTCCTCATCCATGATCCCAAAAAAATCCTCCACATCATCAAAATGATCCCAAAAATAATCTATGGATGGGGATGCCCTTAGAGTACTTATATGGTGATTAAGTTATAGGACCGATACATAACCAAAATACATAAACATGAGTACTTTGTACTTATGTTTTATTCTCCAAAAAAACATAAGTAGTAGTGCATCTATTATTAATAATGTATTATTGTCATTAAGTCAAAATAAAGTAAAGAAAAACGATTTACTACGCAGTATTATTATTGTTGTTATATATTGGTCTAATATCATCATCATAATATGCATTACATTATTATTATTATTATTATTAAAATGTAGGGAGAATTGACCTTTGGTTTCTCAATTAGTCATCATATTGAAATGTCAGATCGATGTTTCTGCGATTGTAAATATCTCCCACATCTACATATGGTGATCAAGTAAAACGAAATTGCCATAAATAAGACCGATACATAGCCAAAGTACATAAACATGAGTTTTTTTAATGAAACATCAAAGAGTAATTTCATTATATAGTCGAAATTTGGAATGTCGATAATCCTATAAAACAGAAGTAATTGAAACATTGAGAAGGGAAATAGAGAAGCAACAGATCAGAGATCAGTGTAAGATGCAGATGATATGAGATCGAAGACGTAAATCTACTTGGATCTCTGTCTCATCTTTCGGCCCTTCCTCTTGAGCCTCCTCATACGCTTCTTCTTCCACTTGGCTCTCATGTCGAAGTGATTTGTACGTTAGCTTTCACAGAGAAACTCGATTCTAAGCGGCCGATACAATAAAACATTAGTAGTGCATCTATTATATTATTAATAATGTATTATTATGGTCATCATCACCATCATCTCCATTACATGATTATTATTATTATAATTATTAATATATATTAATATTAATAATAATAATTTAATATATTATTAAAATGAAATAAGTTGTTGGCGATCAAAGAAAACGCCGGAAGGTCCATCTTCGGGCTGCAGAGCTACCCGCACAACAGCGGAGGCACCTTCTTGGGCGGTGATGTCCCCAGTTTGGTAGGTGATGTCCGTCTTGACATAGCCGGGGTGGACGCAGTTGACTTGACAGGAAGGGAAGTTGTGCGCTATGATTCTTGAATACGCATTCATGGCTGCTTTGGAGACGGCATAGGCCGACATGAAAGAAGGCCACCCCTTTTCTTGCATCGCCGCTGCCCCCTTTCTGAAGTCCTCTAGGTACTCACTCACCACTTCATCCACCTCAACTGCCTCACCTTCAACGTTGCTCAAAACCCTTTTCGCCCTTTTATTCCCAATATTCTGCATGTCATATACATGCAATAATAAATTAAAAGTGTCACCATTGAGATGTACTACTCACGTCCCTTTTAGAATGGTTCCATTTGGAACATTTTCAGTCTAATACCAGATCACATCAGACCAGATCTTACTAGGCTAGACCAGACTAGATCAACTCAAATTTAGATAGTTATAAAATACACAGGACCAGACATTTATAGACCATAAATTTTCAATCCAAATGAAAACATCTTTGGTTAAACATCTTTGAGTTTTCTTACTTGATAATGGTAAATTTTGGCCAACCATTTTAACTATTATAAAGTTTAAATTAATTGCTCTAAATATGACTAAAACGTTGGCAAAGTACACAGATAGGAGTAACTAATTTTTATTCGCAAAATAGGATCTTATTAAAAGTATAAAATTTCCTCATTTAGAAGTGGATGAGTCGTACTTTACGAATAAAACAAAGGTGATCCTATTTTTGCACTTTGTCTGTGTTCTAGTCTTATATAAGAAATTCTCTCTAAATTTATACTTTTATAATAAATTTCATATTATTATTAGTGAAATATAAATATTATTCTAGTAAAATATAAAATAGAAATATTATTTTAGGAAAAAACATTTTCATGTTATTTTAATACTATAAAATATAAATAAAACTTTCATATGCAAATATAGTTTATTATTTCAACCAAAGTTTAACATTATATTGATTTGAAAAATCAAATATAGCTAATTAAAATTTAAAGAGTTAGGTAGATGGGGTGACATTATTATATCAGTACCTCCAATTTGGCCCAACTCGAGCTGAGATTTACAATTCTGGGAGACTTGGACAGTTGGAGGAGAGGAAGAAATGCTTCCACCATTCTCTTTGTGCCATAGTAATTTATCTCAAAGCATTCTTCAGTCAACTCATAATTCTGAGTAAGTATACCTTTCCAATTTAATTTACCTCCCTGCATGTATACGTGGAGTATAATATAATGCATATATTCAGCAGCAGATAGAAGATCCAAACTAGCTAATATAATTAAAGAACTCGCCACATCCACTAGTAGTAACTGCTTTGTTTTCGAACACATGCGTAACTAAAGTATAACTATTGGCCTACTTCTTTCAGTTGCAAATAAAACTTGAGTTAAACATATCAAATCAAATCCATACAATCGTAAAATACAATACACAAGATAATTGTGAAGCCAAATCTGAAAATTTATGTCCAACTGAAAACATCCGATCCATATGATACAACTTCAAGTATTAATGTTGTTTGAGAATCATCAACCCATCATTTTAAAATTCGAGCCTTAACATTTATGGCCAACAAGCTAAGTATATAATACATTAGAAATCTCTCAATTTAAGACTAAAATATATACTTGTACAAAGTTAAAAAATATGATTAAGTATGTTTTATTCCTCAAATATGACTTATTTAGTCCAATTAAAAGAATAAGTTGATTAAAACTACTCAAAATAAGAGCGATTTAGTCCCATTTAGAAATAAAACAATGATAGTCCTATTTATAAACTTTATTCTTATTTTAGTTCTATCTGTTTAGAAAATGTTCTCTAGGTAAATACTAAATCCTCAAAAAGATATCAAATAGATAAATAAGATCATGGATTTATTAGTTTTAATTTGATTGGTTTGGTAGAGAAAACAATTGTGATCTTCCCCCGTGTAAGGTTTCTGTTTGTGCCGCCAGCCTTCGTGCGGATAGATTATGATTTTCTTTGTAACTTTGTACTAGTTTTCAGGCGTGTTTCTGTTTTGTTGTGTCGCTGTGAGTATTGGTCTGAAGGAGAAAGCTTTCGATGGTCTCTACCTTTTTTCCTTACTTCACAAGTTTTGGTTGTCTGGTGCTTGGAGTTAATTCCGGCGATGAGGAGTTTTCGACGGTCCCCTGGTTATACGAAGGCAGAATGGTTGAGCCGCAAGGTGTGGTTGATAGATAAGAAGGGATCCAGTTGGGAGACGATGACAGAGATTAGAGGATCTTCTTTTGCTGGATTTGGGTGAAAGCAAAGCTCAAGAGGGGGATTGAGCGAATGGTCTTTGGTGGTACCGTCATTACAGAGAAGATGATGAAATTTACGCTGTTCAGAGAGATTACGGCCTCCATCTGGGGACCTTGCAGGTGAGTACCCGTCAAAGAAATCAGTGACAAGAAGTACATTTTTTCGTTTTACCATGAAACTGATATAAAGTGTGTTTTAGAGTATGGTCTCTGCCTTTATGATCAGAATCTTGTTGTGTTGCATGAATTAAAAGCTGATGATTTGCCCTTGAATGTTCCTTTATTATATCTCACAGAGTTCTCGGTTCAAGTGCCTAATCTGCTGATAGGTTACTTGACCTTAAAGGTGACAACAATTATTCGGAACAACCTAGGAAAATTTGTCAAGCTTCATGAAGACCAGTTTGAGGGGCACTGGAGAGTCTATTTCAGGATTTGAGTCTGTCTCGAAATAAGAAAAGGAGTTTGGACTGTGGATTAGAGCGAATAGTGGACAAAGCAGTGGTGGTGATGGAGATAACAAGTGGCTAGTTTTAGATAAAAGTATTAAACAAGGACTTAACAATGCTGCTAGCATCGAGATGACCACACAAGTAAGTAAGAGATCAATTTAGTTATGTTATTTGTGCAAGAGAGGGTCAAGATTTTTGGAAACAGAAATAAGTCATACTGGTAGTTGAACATAAGCATCGCTAGGTGGAAGAGAAGACAATAATGGAAGCACGCACATGGATGGAGGTGAAAACCATTGGCGAAAAATGAGGTTAGGGCGAGCTCTGGATAAGAGGCTCGCTGAGAAAACTGAATACATATTGCGCATGTTGGCCATTTATGTTTTCATCACTTTCATTTTTTTTCTCTAGTAAGACTCGCCCGGCTGTTTACTACGTAGTACTATTTTGTTTTTGTTTTCATTAGTCACAACATTAGGTTTTTTTTTTTTTTGTAAATGTGGTCTGGTATACCTTCAGGTGGTGGGTGCTTTGAAGGTCAAATTCTCCCTTTTGGTCATGGTAGGTTTCAAATTGCCTGCTAAGTGGTTAGAGAATTGTTGTGCTTCTTGCGCAAACAGTTCTATATGTAATTCTAACTTCTAAGGCTGATGACAACATTATGAGTGATTGTCTGTATGATGTTCTATGAGTTCTTAATATATTAATATAAGCATTTTCCTGTAAAAAAATGATTGGTTTGATTTTTTGCCGTTAGATTCCAATAAGACCTAGGTTTGTTTCAATTTCTTACAAGTATTTTTCAGCCCTAGATCTAAATACCCTTACAAAACTAATCACTTATTTCCTGAGTAAAACAAATGAGACACACACACACACATACATACATATATGTATATATATATATATGTGTGTGTGTGTGTAGGGAAGAGATCAAATAAAAAGAGGTTCTCCCATGCAAAGTGCGAACAGTTGCACTTTTTCGCGGTGACGAAAAAGTGTGGTTTATTTACGAAATTGCCACCGCGACTTTGGTCGAATTTAATGCATTTTTGGCTCATTTTGAGCCATTAGATGTGGAAATGCATGCACAAGATTCATTCCCACTTTGTATTTGAATCATCCCATATATATATATATATATATATATATATATATATTGAAAAAGAAGTAAAATAACAATTGATATATTTGCATTGAGTGTTATTCCCGTCCGGCTAGGCTGGACAAGAGGATTTTCCAACCACCTCATTTTGAGGTGGTTCCTGGTGATATTTTTTGATCAATTTTTTTAGCTTGTTCATCATGTAGTGTAGATCTCTACCAAATTTCAGCAAAACAATCAATCGAGAAGGTAGTCAAATATTTTTTTGAAGATAACTGCGCCAAAATATACATATAAAATGCAGTTATCTTCTAAAAATCATTTGATTGCCTTTCCGATTGTTTTTTTCCAAAATGAGATGGATGTACCACCCTCCTGTCCGGCTTGGCCAAACAAGAATATTCCTCTGATATATCTATATGTTAGATCCTACCGCCGAAGCTTTTAAAGCATTTTCATCTGCAACAACTCCAACAACTCCTGCATTATTTACCTGAGAAATAAATAAATAATATATATATATATATATATATATATATATATATATATATATATATAATACAATAAGTAATAGCAAATGAATGTCACGGGAAATTTCCTGAAATAGAACACAAGTTTTAGAATTTCAAAAATATGACTGTTATGTTTTTCTTCCAAATAAGTAATTGACTTCAATACTGTCATATTGAAATCATTACAGTCAAATAGTTGCAAAACTAGCATTAACATGACACTATTATCTGTCATCATTGATAGCATTTTGTAATTTCAAAACCTATTTACTTTTATTTAGGTAATTCGTCGCTTACCAAAATGTCAAGCTTGCCAAAGTTGATTTTGACGAATTGGAGGAGGGAAGAAACAGAGGATGGATGGACAACATCGAGCTGATGGAACACCACAGAATGATGCGGCAAACCATAACATGATCTGAGTTTCTCCACGGCTTCAGTTCCTCTTTTTTCACTTCTGGCGGTCAAAACCACCACAACACCATCACTAGCTAATTGCCGGCATATTTCAAACCCTATCCCTTTGTTGCCTCCTGTCACAACTGCATACCTTTTTAACGTGTTCATGGTGTCAGCTTCTTCCATTATGTGACTCCGTATTCAATTGGATCACTCGCTCAACCTACGACTCACACGTAAAATTAACGTTGAGAAAAAGTTTGATCTTGTTGGCCTAATTGACTTTGACAAAAAGTTTGATCTTGGTGATCAAATTTTATCAATTATATTTTTAATACAAAATTATTTTAAATATGGAAATTATATGCACATGTTTTTTATTAGAAATTCTTTCATAAAATGTTAAGTCTCACACTGGTAATTAAGAAGTTATAGAATGCTATATCAAGATCTGAGCTACTCCTCCTAATATGTTGACCTTTTAGGATGTAATCTCATGTCTTAACATGGTATCAGAGCCAAATCGATCCATAAATATGGTACGTAAAAATGACGACACGATTATAACAAAAATGAGAATGACCAACGACGGCGAAATGAATGGCGGCACGATCCAGATGAATTATTTGATCGTGAGGAGAGTAGGAGACGTGTTAAAGTCTCACACCGGTAAATTAAGAGGCAATAGAATGCTATATATATTAAGATCTGGGCTACTCTGAACATGTTAACCTTTTAAGATAGAACCTCATGTCTTAACATAAAAGTATAAAATTTATAAATCACACATAAATATAATAACTGAAATCGTTGTCTAGACTTTCAAATGCACTCAAGAAGGGGAAGGATATGCATGTGATGTGAAGGAGGAGAAGGAGATATTTTAAGTCACTTTTTTGAGGTGATTTATTAGTCTTTCCTCCTAATATATTAGTCTCTCATGTTGAGGTGATTTATTAGTCACTTTTTTTCAAATAAGATCACATTACTACTTAATATTAGTTTTATCATTCTTTCTAACATAAAAATGGATGAAATAAATAAATTTTTAATAAAAGAGACACCATGTCAAAATAGTGTATAAACATTTATTATACAAATTAAAGTGGAACATATAATGATAATGAATGTGCCAAGTGGCAAATTATACCGTGGGATCAACCCACCTTCCGCATGGTATGCCGATCCCACTTTAGGCAAGTGATCTTGCATTTTGTTTCTTACTGGAGCAACATTCATTCTTTTTCTTTTGCTTTTCTTTCTTTATTTTTGTTTTGTTCTGTTCAATTGTTTTCCTTTCCCATCAAATTAAAATACTAAAAATTTAATGGCTATCCTACTTTTCTTTATCTTCATCTTAAATTATAATTGAATTTATTTATTTTATTCTTTATCAATACATAACAAAAAATTTATTAATCTAAATAAATAAGTATATTGCATTTCATATTCATACACTATTTTTGTTTCAATAATATTTTTTATATTCATATACTTTTTTTAATATACTTTTTATATTCATACACTTTTTGTAATGTTTTTTATATGGACACATTTTTTCTATAATATAATTTTGTATCACTTTTATATGTTTTTAGAGGTTTTAAAGACATTTAGTTTGTTTATTTTGATTTTTAAAGTTACATTTGATAATATATCATGAAGTTACATCTTCTTCAGCTCGAGTTACATCTTAATATATGCTATTAATATATAAACCCCTACTATATCATTTTTATAGACCAAATATAAAAAAACATATTCAATATTTAAAGAAGTAATTAAGCTATTATGATCAATTTTTCATTGTTTACATTGAAATTAATGTTTATCATATATATATTATTCTCAAACACACAAAAAATTATTCAATTTTCCAACAAGTTATATTTTGTATACACCTAAGTTATATTTGTCATCAACGCGAGTTAGATTTGTAATAAGATCAGTTACATTAAAAAATCAACCCCTGCTATTTAAACAAAAAATGATCTTTTTAAAAAAAATATTTTTTATGGTCATGATATTAAAAAAAACATATTCACGGTTTACCTAAAACAATTGTGGAATTAGACTCTCTTTTTTCATTGTTTACATTGAAATCAATATTGTATTTCTTGTCTATGTATTTGACAAGTTACATTTCGAATGAACTTGAGTTACATTGATCAATAACGTAAGTTACATATTTTATACGCGAGTTATATCATTCATGTTACTGGAACAAAAATAAAGATAAAAATAGTTACTGTACACGCGTGTATTGTTCAGGCGTGTATTGTTCATGCGTTTTTTAAAATTGTGCAAAGCTATGTTGTTTTTGGAGTTGAGCACGTTGCTCACCATGGGGTGATCCCAAGGTATACGCACTCACGTCAAAGTGCACTCATGAGCATCAAAGATTAGGAAAAGGGACACATATATTACCTATAATTATGTGAAATACAAAAAATGACTAATTTTCCTAATATAATAACTATAGCTTTGTGAAATACAAAAAATGGACTTCCTTTACCAAATAGATAGTATTACCTATTACCTCTAGCGTTTTTCAAAACTTTTGTTATCTACTAATATTACACAGAAAAATGCGCCCTTTTGGACAATGCGCACTTTGAACAATTTTTTAGTCAAATAAATATACTAATCTAAAATAAATAAATAATATATATGCACTGATATTCTTCTTATATAAAGAAAGATATACATATGTTAGTCAAAAGTAAATTATATTTGGTGTCATTCACTATATACTTATATACTATCGTACTTCGTACTCCGTATGTTTTTAACAATAATCTCTTAAAGAAGTGTAAAAAAATACGGAGTAATACGGAAAGGAGTAATAATAGTAGTATAGCAACAAATAGATTAAATCGAGAACTAAGTTAGACCATACTCAACGGTAGGGGTGGACTCGGGCCGGGCCAACCGGCCCGGTGGGATGGCGGTTCGGGCTCGGGCCCTTCAAAAGGTGAATCGGCCTGGCCGGTTCGGGCCCGGGCCGGGCCAACTTTAATTTTTTTTTTGAATTTTTTTTAAGTTTTTGGGTTGGGCTGGGTATTTTGGGTCATTTGAGGTGGTTAGGGTTGGTTTGAGGGTGAGTGGGAGGGTTAGGGGTTAACTAGGAAAAGCCAAAAAAAAAAAAAAAACCGATGCCCGGCCCGGCCCGGACCCGGGGGTTACCCGGGCCGGTTCCGGGCCTCCCCTTCTTGAACCGAGGCCCGGCCGGGCCTAGGCCCAAACCGGAACCGGTCCACCCCTACTCAACGGGCCAAACAAGATTTTGACAATTATTAATATACATAGATGAGGCATCTATCAAATCAGATTAAATGAGATCAATTCAGACTAGACTTAACAAACCAAAGTGAACTTAAAATTTATGTCAATTAAAAACATTCTGAATTCCAAATGATCATTAAGAAGGCTGAATTAATTGCTATTGATCGTTAATACGTAATGACCATGTTTTTATTCTTCCATGAGCGAACCTGTGGGGTTTAGGCTCGAAATTCACAGACTGCGTAACAAAAGATTAAAATCTACAGGCCAGCCAATTGACAAAGTTTTTCGAACAAATTAAAAACCAACGAACAAAAAATCGAATTCCATGGGTAACGAAAAAACCAAGGATTTCAGAGCTGAAATCCAGAGTATTTATTTAAGAAAAAATTTAAAGAGAAGGAAACCTGAGGAGGGATGAGTGTGCTGTGCTGTGCTGTGGCAGGAGATGAGTTTTGTGCGTGGCGCTGATCGTACTTTTTATTGTATGTAATGTTAAATTTTGTACGGACTATATGTTTATTTTAATGGAGTAGTACATTAAGTTTTTTAAATTTCACAGGTACACCGGGACCGGTATCGGATTCACGTGGTAGACTTTTTTATAAACCCATATAGTACCTTATCCGATGCATTCACGTGCACTCGGAATTACTCCTTCGGCATTTAACGATGGGATAGGAGAGAGTGACACGCAAATTAAAAAAAAATGATTTGTGTGATTGATATTGAATTGATAAAGTAAGAATAAAGTAATAATGATTTAGAGTCACATAAACTTTACCAAATTTGATATGTGACAATCTTAGTGGGACGAACCGATAAGGTAAAATGGGACAATCACAGCGAGACATAGGTAGTAATTAACAAAAAAATGATGTTCCTATTCACCCTTATATCCACTTTTATACTCACACATATTTGTGAAGATAAAAATAAGACATATTTTATCTGTGAACATGATTCATAAACAAAAAAAAACTTCACAAAGTTGCTATAACCAGCATTGTTATTTAATTAACTCTATCACAAACTCAAACTTACCTTCTATATTCATTTAGCTGTGCTTCTTTTAATTTATAATCTTACTCTAAATTAAACTCGGATCCATGAGTCTGTTTGGTATGATGTTAACTAAACACCTTGCATATAAAATGCGGGGAAGTAAATATTTTACCATGTTTGTTTTAATTATTTGATGTAAATTGTATAACACTTTTTTACAACATTATACTCTGTACATTGTATCATGGGTGAATATCAATTACAAAATATGTCGAGCTCCATGTTTTACATTGTAGCCTACTTTTACGATTGGATTGTGGCGGCAAACAAAAAAAACTTGGCAGCAATACCTTCCAATTTTCTCTCCTTTATAAGAAAAGGGACCGTTTGGTTTTTGGCGTTTGGGAGTCAAAACGCTAGAAAACACAACCTTACCCGCACGGGTAGCTCAGTTGGTTCAGTGGTGGGAAATTTGGAGCAAGTGATCAAGGTTCGAAATCCGCAGCGGCCGTGTGGAGGTCACAGAACCTGAAATAAGGCTGGACCTCTGGTACGCACGGGAAAAAGACGTACCATCATTGGGCCGACTGAGTCACCGTGATTAACATCCTCCCAAAAATAATGTCGGGTCGGGGTATGAGGGGCTCCTCGGGTGGGAGATTCCACCTTTTGGACCAAGCTAGAAAACACCGCCTTTGCTTTGTAAAATACTCGTAATTAACACGGCGCTGTTTTCCTAACGGAGCCAAATTAATGTGTATAGAAAGTATTACGCGAGATGATTTTGTGTCTAGAAATTGAAAATTGAGATGAATTTGTGTCCAGAACTTGGCGGCGCTTATGTGATGTTCCCATGATCACAATTTTAATAATAGAAATTGTTCTAAATATGAGCAAAAATGTTTTGAAATTCAAAAATAAGAGTATCATGTTTTTTATTCCTTGAAAAAGAGTAATCTGTCAAGTTTGGAAAAAAATGAAATGTTTTAAAACTTAGTAATGCTAAACTTGGCAGAAATTTACTTCTATTCAAGGAATAAAAGACATGATAGTCCTATTTTTGAATTTCAAAACTTTTTTACTCATATTTAGGGGATTCTCGCTTTTAATAATTATGTAGTTTATTATTTTAATATATACTAGGGCTTTTGCCTTGAATATTGCTAAATTAAAGCTAATTTTCAAAAATATGATCATTTTTATAAAGGACAAAAAAGTGACTGTAATTTTATGTAACTGCCAGATTTTTTTCAAAAATATGATCACTTCGAAATTTTAATGTAACTGCCAGATTTTTTATGTCATTGTTGTATGTCACTACTAGATTTGTATGTAATTTTAAATGTCACTGACTCAATGTCACCGGAAAACATGTCACTGTAACCGTTTTCAATCCGTGAAATCGATACCGCCTGCACTGCGGCCGTTCAGCCGCCACCCCAACTTCACACCGACACTCAGCCTATTCCAACACCGCTGCCCGGAGACCGTCGCCGGCCACCCAAATCTGCCCCACACCGTAACCGGCGCCGCCACCCCGCCAACACCTCCATCGTACACAGCCCTTCCCCCTCCCGAGGCCCACACATCAGCACCTCAATCCCCAACACCCCTCCCCTGCCCACATCCCAGCTCCGACCAGCCCTGATCTAGCCCCGACCAGACCCCAACAACCCCGATCTAGCCCTGACAAGCCCAGATCTAGCCGTAATCGAACCCCAACCGCCCCGATCCATCCCTGATCATCTCCGATCTAGCCTAGAATAGACTCCAACAGCCACGATCTAGTTTCGTCCCCATCTTCTACTTACCTGCAACGGGGGTGGAGCAGCACGATGATATCACAGCTTCCTCGAGGGTGGATACCGGTCACAAGAAAGGAGAAGAAGAAGATCAAACGATTGAAGTAGACGATGACGATGGAGATCGAACTAGGCGGCGGAGAAAGGAGCGACAGACGCGAGGTGTCATCGCCAATCATATTCAGAGCCGCTGCCGTTGGACGTCGCCGCCATTCGCCGGAGTTGAACCGTTGGTTTGTTGTTGAACGACCTTCCTCCTTGTTCGTGAGCTCTGGTTCAGACGAACGGAAGAGGGAGGCTCCGGGGTTGCGCAGAAGTGGAAATGAAGAAGCGCAAGAGACACGCACTGCACACTTTTTTGTCCATTCAACTTTTGGTCACATTTATGTCTCATAGAGTATATCTAGAGAGAAGTGAGAGCTAGAGAGAGAAGTGCAATAATATGCTTCAATAGAATGAATTTGTCACCCCTATAACTACTCCCAAGGGGAGTATTGATAGAGAAAATACGGGCTGGGCTCCCAAGCCTTGGGCTTGGGAGGCCCATCTACAACTGGACTGCTACTGGGCCGAATACAAAGCCACTAATGGGCTGTACAAATGAGTAAGTGTAAAATCCGGTTCTGTGAGGTCTTCGTGGCCGACGAGGGCGTGGCCGACGAGGGCACGGCCGACGAGGGCGCGGCCGACGAGGGCACCCGGGTTCCTTGGCTTCAGGACCATATTCTGAGTTGGTACCTTTCCGGCCGACGGGGGTCCCTTGGCCGACGAGGGCACCACTCAGTGTCTTGTGCTTTCTGTTCTTCTGAGTATGTGGGTCCTGGGGCTCAGACCCATATACTCCATCAGGAGTCCCCCACTCTCTAAGCTGAGACGTAGACGAAGTGAAGGAAAGTAGATTCCCGCGCTTTGGTGCTTTTGGCCGATGCGGGCACTCCCAGGCCGTTAGCTGTTGCGGTGTTGGCGCTGTCTTCATTTCGGTGATCTTGTTCCGTGCTTTGGCCGTTACCTTCTCCTCGTTGTGGACGGGGGGGCGTTGTTTCCTTGGTGTGTCCGTTTGGGGACAATGAGTGCCCTGCTTCGATGGTGGCCGTTGAAGGCGCGTTTTCCCTCTCCTGGACGTTGATGGTTGAGATTTACATTTGGGCCGATGAGGCCGTTGGGGTTGAACCTTGCTTCGAGGACGATGGGCGTCTTTTCCTTTGGGTGGCCGATGAGGGTGCTTGCGCACTCCTTTTGGTCGTCACTGATTGGCTTTCATGTTCTTGGCCGAAGAGCCCATTATGATTAACTGTTGGCGGAGGACGATGAATGTCCTTGCCTTAGGTGGCCAGTTGGCCGTCGCTGATGATGTTATGTACCTTTGGCCGACGAGGCGCAGTGTGATACATGGACGATGTGGTCATGCTTTGTGGTTACATTTGTGTCCTTTGCATTTTCCCTTTTTGTTTTGTTGAGGCCGATGTAGTCCCCCAGTCCCCCACTGCTTCAGGCCGAAGAGAGTGAGGGGTGAAGGAGTTGCTTGAGTCCCTGGCCGAAGCGGCCTCTCCGTAATCCCCCTGAATCCAACCCTTATGGCGATTTTCTGGCCAAGGTAACCCTGTGGGAGAACCCTTGTGCGCAGATCGCTTGTAAAGAGTTATCATCAAGGGTCGTTACGAAGAATCGATGGCTGCAGGTTCTTTGTTCCTTTGGTTCTGTGGCCGTTACCGGCGTTCATGACGTTCCTGGCCGTTGTTGTCTTCTTGTTGCTGGTCTTTGTGAAGCCGGTAAGCGTATAGGCCGTTGTGGGCGCTTGCTGGCGCTTGTGAAGCCGGCAAGCATGTAGGCCGTTGTGGGCGCTCGTTGTCCGTGTGATCCGTAGGCTTTTACTCCGCCGATAAGTTGGTTCACGAGCCCGGCCCATTTCTGAAGGTGTGGCACCTCATCGGCCGCTGGGAAGGTGACCGCTGAGGTGGCCACTGATATGGTGCCACGTGTAGTGACCGTTGGAGATTGTCTATAAATACCCCCCCTCCTCCGAAGCGGTTCCTTACTTGCATTCTTGAGATATCGAAGTGCTACCCGAATTTCTAGAGAGAGAGAGTCTTCAAGGTGTTCTTCGAGTTCTTCATATCTTCAAGGTTAGTTCTTGACTTGTTCTTCAATTCCTTTGCATACTTTGCTTCCCTGAGCCTTGATCTAGTGTTAGTGGACAAAACGCCTTAGATCCAAAGTAATCCCCCTTAGGCTCGTAATAGTTGTTATGATGAAGAGCTTAGACGAAGAATATTATCCGTACGACGACCAGCCCTCCACTAGGTCCCTCGACTATGAGGTGCTTGAGGAGTTCGAGGAAGAGATAGAGCGTTTAAGTCCTTACAAGTCCGGAGAGCCGGTGGACGACGGAGGTGAGGACGAGGAGTCCGCCTCATCTTCAAAAGGTGAGGACGCAGGTGCGTCCCGAGTGGTGGACGGGGCGTCCACTTCCGCTGTTATTCCGTGCCCGAGACCGGTGTCTGCCGTGAAGGGAGCAGATAAGCCGAAGAGAATAAGGAGGCCGAAGAGTGGGTCGGGCGTCTCCTACCTGGATCT